TAACACATAATCTAAGACCTAAAACACTACCCAAGTAAGGAAACAACCTCTTCGGTCTCGTTCCTTCCACCGATGCTCAAGTCCCTTCTTCACGGACGGATATGAACTTGTTGTAGCTTTGATTCTTAGCCTTGATGCACAAAATGATGATGATGTTTTGTCACCCTTTTGTCATTATCAAAACCTAAAAGACAATGGGCAAAGGACATTGCAAAAATACATATTCATGATAGCACATTGTCCAACAATTTCCCCCTTTTTGATAATGACAAACCCATTAGGAGATATGCATCATCCAAGGCTAGTTCCCCCTCAAGTATTGCATCATAAATCAAACAAAGACATACAAATCTATACTATCTTCCCCATTAAGATATGCACAAATACAATTCCTCTTGAATATATGCATATCTACATCATTTTCCCCCTTTTGACATTATCAAAAAGAGATGGGCAAAAAGATATATGCTCATGCAAATAGATATCAAACAAACAAATAATATCACATTGTCCAACTAAAATATAAATCAACATTAGTTGGAATTAATAAAGTGAATCAACTTCCCCCTTAATTGATGCTTCACCCAATTATGTGCTTGGCGCATCTACTTCAACTCAAGTCGAAGTGTTCAAGCACACCTTCCGTAATGAATCTACGAAGCAAATCTTGGTACCCAATGCCTTTTGGGTCCAATGGTGTTATGGCAATAATAAAAATCATATGAACGATGCATCACATTATCTTGACTTAGAAGCAAGTGCCTATACTTAGTCTTGATGCACAAAATGATGATGATGTTTTGTCACCCTTTTGTCATTATCAAAACCTAAAAGACAATGGGCAAAGGACATTGCAAAAATACATATTCATGATAGCACATTGTCCAACACCCGGTTCCCATGAGAACCTAATCCACGATTTTCATAAACAAAATAAAAATAAATTATACTGTAATATTTAACCAATAAAAGGCTTTCACTAGTTGAAGTTGTAAAATGTATAAGACAATGTAATTGATGACTAAAATTTTACTAGTTATGTTATATATATATATATAACTAGTATTTTGACCCGTGCCATGCACGGGGCCGAACGAATTTTTTGTCAATTCTTATTTTTTTCATGCAATATTTTTTGAGGATTAAAGAAAATAAATTTTTACATGATTTTTAATAATATATACATCAACGTCAAAGTAGAATAAATAATATTTGAAGAATTGAAATTATACAAAACAAAGACTTATGAAAATCCAAATTTTATGAAATACTTCAGGGTATACAACATTTTTAATATGGATGCAAGAGTTTCTGTTTTCATCCAAAATATACATTTTTAATCATGTATTTGTCTTTACTCGTAAAGCAACAACATAAAATTGACCATAAGTGAATAGTGACTTGGTTAAAATAATCTAACAAAAGATAATGTTTCACCTTAAGTTTTGTTAATAGTCATAGCAAAACATAACTATTGAAAATTGTCTTTTTTGAAACTTTAAGGGGTAGCCTTTAATCATATGGTACCAAATTTATTCGAGGCATGTAAACATTTTCCCCGTCTCGATTTCTCGAAACCACGATTGCACGGTTAACATTTTTTGCAGCGTTTCAACAATTAATCTTATAACATACCCAATCCAAATAACAAAATCAATACCCTATTTTTCAAAACTATTTTTTGGTTTAGGATCCCCGAACATCTGAACATTTGATTTCATTTAAAAATTCAAATGTTATCCAATAAGCATCAACACCTACATTGGTATCTGCTTGTCATTAAGATTGATAACTCAAGTACTCCTTTTTCATCACCGAGAATGAGAAATAGGACAAACTCATTTACCATTTCAACAACTTCGAGAGTGGATGCTAATGGTGCCCTATCCTAAAAAATAATATTTTTTCATATTCTCCAATAAGTTCAGATAAGTAAATTTCAATACTATACTCTTGAAGGATAACTTACGTCAAGAATCAAGAATACGGGTGGGATTTCACAGCAGAAATTTCATCAATCACCTGACCAAGCTTTCCATCTCCAATTTTGATTATACAATCAGAAAAAGCTTGTGTATCCCTAGTTGCATAAGAGGACATAGATGAATGCAATATCATATTCTTGGTCAATGTAAAAATGTACAATACAACCACAATTTTGAGGATTTCGCGGTAGCACCTATAATTTTCTCTCTCGAAGCTTTGGTATAATTGGAAGGATTTGGCGAAAATCACTTTTGAGTACTAATATTTCCCCTCTGAATGGTTCATTTCAAGAGTTATTATTATAGAACCTCATTATATCTCTCATTGTGTGATCCAATGCCTCAAAAGCAAATCTATTCATCACACATGCTTCATCTCATACGATTCCACTTGCTTGGTAGATTAATTCTGCTTTCGGACTCCCTTGTTTGATAGCACACGTTGAGCACTCAGTTAAAGCCAGAGAGATTGAGAATCTCGAGTGTGCTGTCCTTCCACCAAGAAAAAGCAATGCTGCAATGCCACTGGATGCAACATTCAAAACAGCCTTACATACCATTCGTTCTTGAAAAGTAGACATTGGTTTCTATATAAATGTTTTTCCAAGTCTCCCGCAACCATATACAAAAAAGAAACCTCCTCTTTCAGATATCAAACATCTATTATCGCATTAAATATCTTTCTTTAATCTTCATTCATCGTAGATAAATATCCTCTAAAATCAGATAACAATTTTTCTTTGTCAAAATTCAATTTTTCAATCAAAATATTATTTTGAAATCTATTAAGTGACTATCATCTGGAAATGATATACCACTGAACTCCTTTAAAAATGTATAATTTTGATATTATTTTCTAACTTTTCCTTTACTTTATAATAAGCTAAGTTATGATGTGTAGGATAAATAATTTTAGGGTGCAGCCTTTTTTCTAATTTGAAAAGTTTTATGGGACGGATGTAGTATAATTTTCTTCAAACAATTAAGGTTATTTATTTATATTAGGTTTCCCAAAAAACAATTTACATAAGTAGTCACCATTGCGTATGCATTTTTTTCAAAAAAATATCTTCAGTAATTCTAAAATTAATCTCTTTTACATTTTTTGACAATACAATTATATCAATTATTTTCGTTGGTTTAACGCAGTGAAAGTCTTATTTCAATCTATGAATTTAGTTTTAAACATATTAATGAATCTCGAAAAATTCTATGGTGGACTTAAGGT